GCTTTGTATCTGAATCATTTTCACTTCACACAGATTTTGAATTTATTCCTACCACAAGGACTCAGGAAAGATTAAACTGGATTTTGGATAGCTTTAGTCCTTTGAACCCTCAGTCTTTCAGAGGTGGACAAATCCTTTGATGAATTTGTAAAAATAAATTCAATTTTTTGCTTCCTCATATCGGCCTTGGAATAATATTTATACATAACAAAAGTAAACTTTGGCTTAGTTCGAAAAGCCACAGGACAAAACCAGCTAAATAGAAGTCTGACTTAGTAGTTTCTACCCTCAGAGGGCCACTGAAGTTATTGTCTAACCAACATTCTTCTGTCCCACATGGATCCTCCAAGTGCTCCACATGTAAGCATTAAACAATTTATTTAAAAACAATGATGACTCTGGTAGACTTGGTTCAGATTTATCTTAAACACTAACCAATTAAGGAAAACCCTCCTGAAGACTATTTGTTTCTCAGTTTCTTTGTTCTCATAGCTCCAGCTGATAAAATTTAATCTGTATCCCATAGCACTTCTACATTTACCACCATTAAGAGACTGATCTACTGAGGCAAGGGCTCGCAAACACAAATGAATGTCATGATTTATGAATCCTGTTTTTTTAAAAAACGACCCATGATGGACTAAATTTCCCATTTTCAATTGCAGAAGAAAATGTGAAATCTGAACAAGATGCAAAGAAAACAGACAACCTCACAGGAACGGCCTCTCAACATTTCCTCATCTTTGTGAAAAAGCAATAAACACGGGTATATTCTACTCGTTATGTAATGCAAACCTAAAAGGGAATGTTTTCTCAAGATGGAAAAAAGGCATTCTAAAGATGAACAAGAAGCATTACCCCTAATGAGGATTAGTTGAGAGGTGTAAATCAACAGCACAAGATTAGGAATGTTTGACATGATTTATCTGAGTGTTAAAGGTGCAGTCCCCTTTCCTGACTTTAAACCAATAGTTAAGACTTCATATTGTTTGCATGGTAAGAATTGTCTTACCAAGAAATGTTTGTGTCTGATATTTCATGGGAAGTCTTAGAGTCATTTTTATGCTAGAATAGACATTCTTTTTATGTGTTGCTTAAACAAGCTGTTACAGTAGTCTGCCAAGAGAAATAATTATATAAATTATAATGACATTTGTTATTATCCTTAAAGCATCTTTGCTTTCTTATCATCCACAGTATTAGCTAAAAGACCTGACTTGATTTAAAACAGGAGCTTCCTTTGATGAAGTTATACTAAGAGGCCTATAAAAAGCAATCCTTCATGAATATCAGTGTGGACAGGAATGATCAGACAGACAAATTTTGGTATATCAAACATTTTGGGGGGAGGTGGGAGAGTGGTGCTGGGGATTGAACCCAGGCCCCCAATGTGCTAAACTCATGTCCTATCATTGAGTCTTTGGCATATCAAAATTTTTGGACATCCATGGGACAAGCTCCATAGAGAATGCTGCAGATTTTATTCTTTAGTAAGGTTTTTAGGTCATTTGTACTTGAGCTCTGAAGCTGAAAATGAAGGAGAGTTTGCTACACCTTTGACTTCCAGGCTCGTGTGTTCATGAACAACACAGGGCAAGGAATGGAAGAGGTATCAAGACGGGGCGAGAGAAGACAGAGAGACAGAGGAGACAGGGAACAGCTAGTTTCCCAGCACAGACACCAATAGACAGGTAGCATTGACACTGTACCTAGAGAGGCTGCCCTCGGCGGCCAGGCCCTGGGAGTCATCGAGGACATTAGGTTCACTGCAGGAGGGGTAGGGAGATGAAGCATTTAGGGAAAGAAAATGCAGAAAGAAAGAAAAAAAAGGCATGCAATTTTCTGTTTCCAGAACCAAAAATAAGTAAGTTTAACAGAACAGGGAAGGAAAAGGAGACAGTCAACCATGTCACCTTGTGCTGGGTTTGTCAAGACATAGGACTCAAGGTAACGGGGAGGGAAGGACTTTGGATGGATACGACTCTCAGAGGAGTGGTCTTTTTATTGGTCGAGAGTTAAAATGAGCTCCAAATGGACACATGAGCTCTGAACACACTGCAGAATGGATCTGTAGAAGATGAAACTAGCATTCCTTTGTTAACCATTTGATAAGGTGGTTATTGTTTTTAATCTGTCTTATGAAAGTAATGTTTCTTTAACCAGACCCTGCTTCTTTCTTATGGCTTCTGACATTATCACAGAGAAACCACTTACCATCAGATGCCACAACCAAACTCTTGGAACTGATGCCATTTAAAAGAACAAAAAAGAGGAAATAAAAGAACCCAACTTTTCCTGCTAATTTTGCAAAGAAAATGCAAGTAAACAAATGGCAGGAAGGTATCTTGGAAAATTCACACATGGAACTGATTTACCTCACTAACACCTCTAGTGATTGAATTGTAAATGGCAAAAGAAGAAGGTTGTCAGGTTGGTGAGAGAATAAATACTTTATCAATTTATTTGAATGTAGCTGAATTGAGATTTGGGAATGGAAGCTATGTTGTATTTTGTTTTTTCTTTGGCCCTAGCATTAAGCTAAGCACTCCTGAGGCCCTCAATAAATACTTATTAAATTGGGTGGATTGGACATTTAGAAAACTGGAATATGCACCCCCAAATAATTCAGGTTTATCTAATTGTAAAATAGTCTCTGTCACCAAGAAGAATCTGATTTTCTCTAGTGATACAGACAATGTTCCCTTTACTCCTCTTGTAAAATATGATTTAATCCCAAAGGGATTAACTGTATTATCTTTTGTAAATTTCTAGGATATCTATACAATAGACATTTTCTCCCTGGAAATATGTTAATCCATTAATATAAATGCAGAAAGGGAATTAGTAGGCTGGGTTATTTTAGGTAAATAACCAAAAATTCTCTAATTAAGATTACTATAATTTAAAATAAGCTTTCAGTAAATAGTTAATTTTGTTCTTGACAGTCTTGAGCACTGCTGGCACATGAACTGCTTGTGTGACTTTATATTATTTCATGGGACACATTATTATTTGACACTAATTTGGTTACACATTGTATTTATGAGACTTCCTTTTCAATGGAAAACCTCCCAAGTAATTAGTAAAATAATCTCTAACAATGATAGGAACATACGTGTGTTATTAGTCTTTGTAATAATTAGATATGCTTATATAAAACACTTTCTTAAAAAGTAGTCAATTACTTTATCGACTATCTTTTATCTTTCCCTCTATTCTTTGATATTCTTCAAATTTTGGCTTTGTTTCACAAACTATATTCATTTGTGAAGTTCATGAACTCTGTGTTAAAAGACTTGGGGCCAGGATAATTGCTCCTGTATGTAAACTGGTTTTATCTGACCATAACAAAGTACCTTGGTTTTTTTATTTATTTTTTTTTTTTATTTTTGTGGTACCAGGGATCAAACTCAGGACCTTGTGCTTGCCAGGCAGGCACTTACGCTGCTGAGCTATATCCCTGGCCCATCCTTGGTTTTTATTATTATTTTCCACATGTGAATTACACCATGATTAATTTATAGTATGTAAATGACAAGCTAATTAAAATCATATAAGGCCTATTCATAAAGACTTTAATTCCTAAAGTAAAAATATTGTTTGTAAAATAGTTAATGTTTTGTTTTTATGTCAGATCATTTTCTGTTTTCTTTTACAACTTACACTCTTAGATGTCAGAGAACACAATGATAATATTTAAAAGCATTTAGACGTGGACTCATAGAACTAGTGATAGATCATTTTAGCCAACCATCTTGCTTCTCAGAGGAGAATACCGGCTGTTAAATGATCTATACACAGTGAAACATAGTGATATACATTCTTTCTGCTTGGTTAAACATCCCTATGTCCAGCTGAACACTGGTGACAGCACCCTAAACTTTAGCAGTTATATCAAGCTGGTGCTAGGCTTTTGCTAGACACTCATTATTAGCTTAGCTAATAAAAAACCTGAAATACAAGAATGTCATGTAAGCATCAGGAAGAAGGTCATATCTCTGTGAAAATTTTAAGAACAGACAACCCGTGATCACAAGTTGGGGTCCCTCCTACTAGCTTGGCTTCGAGAACTGCAAATTATTGCCAGAGGGAACCTAGTTGGAAAGTACTTTGTGCCGGGGCCTCCCATTGCTTGCTTCTCTTTCAGTCTTTGTAGGATACTGTGAGTGTACTTTTAGAATGTCTACCTTTGCCCCCAAGTGCAGAGTATAAGACAGTCACAGCTCTTTACCTCTGGCTGGGTAGCATGCCCACTTCAGCCTGAGGTGCAGACATGCTGGAGACGTGGCTGGAGAACCGCCTCCTTCCCATGGCGCTCAGCAGGTAAGCTTCCTGTTCACTTACCACACTGGGCATGCTCACAGAGTCATCTGAAAGCAGGAGGGAAACGAAGTCATAAAAACTGTTAGCACTGATCACAAACCCCAAAACAGAGCTATATTCCATTACTGCCCTTGGCTTGAGTAAAGCTTAAAATTAAATTTAAATTATCATCAGTTTTATTATAGGAAAAAAGACCCCAATAGAACTGATGATACTTCATAAATACACAGCTTCCACCCTCTCACTAAAACAGCCTTCATGAAGTAAATGTAAACTTCGTGACTATTTTTACATATATATTATTTGTGAAAGTTGATCATGTTCTGCAAATTAAAGGTTCCAGAAAAGCTAGAATATAAAATTTTAAGGCATTCCAGGAATGGTCATTAGGAAGTTTGTTCTTAAATGTATCAAGTAAAATTTTGTGACAGGGGTTGGGAAGATGGCTCAGTAGGATAAGAGCTTCCTTGGCAAGCGCAAGAGTTTGAGTTCAATCCCCGATTCCAAAAAAAAAAAAAATTGTGACATGTGAAAGTATTTTCAGGACTGTACATTTAATGGGTTCTAGCCAGCTAGTAGTAGGAAAGACTGCTTCAAATATTTTTAGGAAAAAATTTTTGAAAAATTTTCTGAAATAAGCGCTCGTTTAAAGTGGAGGCATCTAATCTTGTTTTCTCCAGGAAAACATGACAAATTAATATGCTCAAATCCATAAAAAGTTAACTTTGACACAGTATTTGTGAAAAGGAACCTCATTCAAAGTGGATCTTTAAGATAGCTTGGTGGACAAAAGGGCCTGTTTAGGCAAACACAGGGACTGCAGTTTGATCCCCGGCACCACATGCCTCACCAGCCCTGCCCCCAGCGTGGGTTGAGCCAGCCCCAGAGTCCAGGTGTAGGGGCGCACACCTGTGATCCCAGCACTGGGGAGGCTGAAAGCAGGAGGATCACCACAAGTCCAAGCTACATATGTAGTGAGACCCTGTAACAACCAAAAAAAAAAAAAAAAAAAAAAAAAAAGGAAGAAAGAAAGAAAGAAAAACCAAAAACAACAAAGTAAGCTAATGTGGGCCAGGGATGTAACTCAGTGGCCCAGCCCCTGCCTGGCAAGCACGTGGTCATGAGTTTAATTCCTGATACAAAAAATACTGTGCACTAAACATACTTCACTGAGCATATTGGGTTTTGGTGACCATACACTACTATATAAGATCATCTGATACTACTTATTTAAAATATCTAAATGATTATATTTCTAATTGAACTTGTTTTAAATTAAAAAGTGACAATGAAATTTGTTATAAAATCTGCTATGAAATGACTGACTTAAAACTTATTCTTTTTATAGAATGGTATTCTCTTTTGCCATGTGTTCACAGAGAAATACACGAAACAACACGTTGAACTATGTCTACAAATGCCCTTCCTAGATGTCATTGATTTCTACTCTTACTTGAGATCATGTCTCTCATATTCCCTCAACATTTGGTGATTTGTCATGTGTTGTCATCCATTAAGTCTTTTGTGAAGTGTATATTTTGTAAATGTCTATCATCTCTACAAAACCATAACTAGTATCTTAGAGAGCAGATAACATATCCCACAAATCCTTGTCCTATATCTGATAGGTCTTAATACAGGTTTGATTATTGGAAAAATAGTTCAATTTGAGGCAACATCTGACTTTTATACTTCTCTTCACATAAACATACACCCTCATCACAACTACACTGCATTGTTTGCTAGCAACAAAACTTTCATTGGGATAACTATGATGTCCAAGAATAGAGATAATGACAGAAATGTGCATCCCCCCATTAGTACGTGAGCGGTGGCTCTGGACCAAAGGAGATCCCTGTATATTTGTTCTCTACTTTGCTTTTATTTGTTCTCTACCCTGTCTTCTTCTTTCTGGCTAGATCATCTGCTTATTTGTAAGTTACTTGCTAAATAGACTTAGGTTTACAAAACATAGGCGGTACCTACTTCCCATCCTTAAAAAAAGAGACTATTTGAAGAATCAAAGAAAAATATGTTTCGTTTTATATTTTCAACTTTTAACCAGATTTTTTTTCCAAAACTTTTACTACTTATTTTAAACCACTAGCCCCATGGCTGGGATTTTAGACTTTTTCCCTACTTACAGCTTTATGTGTATTTCCACCAACAGTCAGTAAGGTGACTTGACAGAAGCATATGTCCATGGATTGGGTGCAGGACAGAATGATTATTACTTTATCTCACTGACCCTAAAACTAAATCTGGACACATACTGGTAAATGTTTTGAAAAGGCATTTATTTCTTTTCTTCTCCTACATATCCAACTATATTGGGCTATTAATTTGCTTTCATTCATTTTATTTTATTCAAATTTCAACCTCAATTCCTATTGCCTTTATTTATTTGACTCAAAGAGTTTTGTTTTTTTTTTTATTGTTGTTTGCTATAGAAAGTCTCTTACTGGACATCCAGGTTTATTCCTAAAGCATGGACAGCAAAACTTTGCAATTAATGTTTTCTATCAGGGTATCTTAAAATACAAATGGAAAATAGTGCAATTTCGAAGCTCCTGACATGATAATGATAGTTAATCAAACCTTTTATCCTACTTTTATTGTCAAGCCTGCTCATGCTAAGCACATATATGCATGAAGTGTTTCAGGACTAGATTTCCCTTTATTACAGAATACTAAATCTTCAGCACATGCATTAGAAGCTCCTGGGCTGATCTCATCACTTGGGATTGTTTTAGCTCAAATGAGGGCTGTTTCACCTCTAGACAGCCTGCTGCATAATCTCATGCTGGCCAGCACAGCCAGCTGGTCCCTTCTGAGTCCTGATGCTCTGCCCATTTTTCCTTTCCCATTACGTGCTGGTCAGCCCTCTAAGCCAGAATGTCCAGAAGAAGCAGGAGAAATTTTTTATGCACAATTTAAAAGAGTTAGTAAAAAATTAAAAATATTAGGGATTATTAGAAAAAATTATTTTTGGCCTGAATTCTTTTCAAACAATCAAGAAATTTCCAGAACAGAAATAAGAAACTAGAATTTGCCACAATTCCATTTTGAACTACTTTGTATAATTAATTAGAGGAATCAGAACTGGAAATGGTTGGAAGAGCAGGAATTCCCAAGCCCTCGCTCACACGGCCAAGGTTGTTTACCACCAGGGTTCTTTGGAATGACCTACTTTCCTCGTCTTCTTCGTCAGTCCGACTCAGAGTGTCCTGTGAAGCCTGCTGGGACGGCTCACTGTCCTGCTCCCAGACAGTGCCTGTGCCCGTGTTAGAGCGGGACATGGTGGCCAGGCTCAGGCGGTACGCAGATGTGGAGGTACCCACAGTACTGATGGACGTCTTCCCTTGGTAGGCTGGGGCCGAGAGACCGAAAGAAATGCATGGTGACGTTCTTGAAATAAAAGTGTTTGCTTCAGGGTTCTCCCTAACCACTTATATTTTTCTTTAAGGAAAGATAAGTCAAATAGTACCTCAGGCAAATCATGTTTAAGACCAAGTAACACATGGAATTGGAAATATTGACAACAAAGAATCAAGATTGGCCGCTGATGTGACTGTGACTGAATAGTTTTCTTGTAAGTACACCACATACCCAGCCATGTAAAATAGTTAGGCAGGGATAACAATGCTAAGAAACTGGAAATTAGTTGTGACCTGAATTGTCAACTTCCAACTTACCAGTTTTTACTGAGACATATCCCTTAGCCTGACATAAACGTATGTAATGAATACATTAATGGGAGCCTCACAATCAAAATCAGAATTTAAAATCAAAACTGTGCTCTCATTCTTCTTTTCTGGAAATTATAACATATAAAATACGCCTCAGTTCTAGATTAGATTAGTGTATCAGTTCTGTATCAGATTAAACAGAATATTTGAATAGCAGTGCACAGATTTTGCCTAGATGTCAAAATTGTTGTAAGCCTTTTATTTGAAAGCAATAAAAATGCTTTAGGGAAAAAGAAAAAAATACATATTTTATTTTAGTCCCACCAATGGCAATGATTTATTTTCCTTCTATAATAATTTGCTGCTAATATAATTGTAGAAAGTAAACAATGCTACTCAAAGGAAATATTTTGATGATATATAAAGTGTACTCTAGCCTGTCAATTCTATTTTACAATTCTATTTCTTTTCACAAATTCAATACAATCTGTGAAAAGTTGGAGGTTTTATAATCACTCATGCACCCTGGCTAAAAAAAGCACCTCTTTATTGTCATGTGTTTGTAAATTATTTAATCTCTATTGAGTTTCAATTTCTCCCCTTATTTTTTCTTTTGTTCTTTTGTGCAGTACTGTTGAATGAATGCAGGGCCTCACTTATGCCAGGCAAACATTCTGCCACTGAGCTACATCCTCAGCCCTTTTGATTTTATTTCCAGATAGGAGTTCCCTAGGTGGCCCAGGACAGACTTGAACCTGCAGTCCTTCAGGCTTAGCCTCCCGTGGCTGTGGTTCCAGGCATTTGTCATCAAGCCTGACTGACTTCCTCCTACTTAAGTGTATTTCCAGTGATGCACCTTGGGGCTATTTGTGTGGATTAGAGGAAATGACTGTGAAATAATCTACATCTAACAGATGCTCAGTAAATATGAGTCTCATTTTTACAAAAAGGAAATGAAAAAAACTTTTACATAATTTTTCCTGGGCTGGGGAGATAGCTCGGCAGTCTAAGTGCCTGCCTGGAAGCACAAGGACCTGGGTTTGATCCCTGGTACTGCATGCCATGCTGGCCCTGGAGCCCCGGGCATGGGGGCACATGCCTGTACTCCTAGTGCTGGTAAGGCTGAGACAGTACAATCACTATGAGTCCTAACTGTGTAGTGAGACTGTACCAAATAAATAAATAAATCTTTAAAAAATATTTTTTCCTGATTACAAATTCTAGAAATAGTTTAGATACTAAAATTAGAATTAAAATATTTAGAAAGAAAAAACTTTTCTGATTTCTTGTTTGCTGCTATTGTTGACAACAGTCACACAGTTTCATGATTGCAATCAATGCATACTGCAGGCATGTTAATTGAAAGAAAACCACATGGTCATATCTACTTTCCAAAAGGCTAGTTCAGAGATGGCTCCAGCAAGCACAGCAGAACCCTGGGTAGAGGGATTCCTCGTAGGCTGCGAGTTCTACCTGTCAAACAAGTTCCAAATACCCCTTTGCATGTTTACCTGATCCACTGTGGACAGCTTCTTTTAGAATTTTTAGTTCACTGTTAAACTCAGCGATGAGCGAGCTCTTACACAAGGGGCGGGGTATGAAGCGCCGCTCTAGCTGGTCAGCAATGTGTTGCCGGGCAGAAAGTTCTTCATGGTTTTCTGCTGGTTGTGCCAAAAGCTAAAAGGAAGGTATTGCATTCTCAGGGTCTTAATCTCTCCATCTGTAAAAGGGGCTAATTACCATTCCTACTTCTTTGTTAGTTGAGAGGAGTGGATAAGGTAGTACACATAAAATCCTTAACAGGGTCTTTCATGGAGGAAGGCTTACTGAATAACTTGTATCAAGTCACTGCCTCAAAAAACCAGGCATGAGAAGAACAGAAGAGTCAAAGAATAATGAGGGTGTTGGAGGAAAAACCAGGTGTAAGTATCCTACATTATCATGTTTATTTAAAACCAGGTCTCTGTCATGGCACTGATCATAAGTGAGATTATTCTACTGGCCATAGTTTTTAAAGGGAGGAGGTGATGAACAGGGAAAGAACTAAGTTTTGTGGACACTAATAACAATGAAGTTACTTCCAGTGTGAGATTTTATTCTGCGGCTGTAGTTTGGGGCTGCTCCATCATCAAGCACGGTATTCTCAGCCCCTGTTAGCTATGACAACTCCCACCATCCCTCCTGCCACAACCTGGGCTTAACGAGGGGCAGCACATGCAGCGGGCTTGTTGCTCCAGGAGCAGCACCCCCCACACCTTGCACTGGATGAAAGGACGCAGGAGCACAAAGATGGGAATCCGGGTCCGCACAATGAAGTCCAGGAAGTCCCACAGGGCCAGGCCGCCCACCTTCCGGAGAGCCATCTCCTTCACCTGCAGGCTCAGCCAGTACCACTGGCTGCCCAGCTGCCTCTCAAAGCAGACCAGAATCACCTTCAGAGCTTCAGGGTAGAAAAGAGAAAAGACCAAGATAAAGCAAGAAAGGGTATCATGTCTGCATCTTGTCCTATGAATAACTACTACGAAGACAACAATATGCAATGTATTAATTATTGTAACTCTCCTACTAACCTGTTTTGAAACTGTCTCATTGCTATTTGTTCTCAATAAAATTAATTTTTAAAAAAAAGGAAAGAAAAAAGCCTGAGGTGGGCCGGGGAGATGGCTCAGTAGAATAAGTGCTTGTTTGGCAAGTGCAAGGGCCTGAGTTCAATCCCTTGTTCTGCCAAAAAAAAAGCCTGAGGCTCATGCTTAGGAGGAGGCCCCACCCACAGCCTGAACGCAATAGGAAAATTTCTAGCTTTTTTCCTTTTAATTTTGTTTTTATTGTCAAAATATAATGTGGTTTTATATTTTGTAAATTTCTAGTTAATGTGGCCTCCATTTTCTGTAATGTCACTAATAACCAATAAAATCCCTTCTAATTCCTTAGTAAATGAATTTGTTCAGTGTAATTATTAAGTGGAATACATTTCTTTGGTATATGTTACTGTTTCTTTGTTTTTTGCTATATATTTATGCTTTAGTTTTTGTTTATACTCTATAAAACAAAATTAAATTAAATTACAAAAATAACTTCCTAAACTTCACATTTCCAAAAACTCAGCACACCCCCAGGGTGTACTCCTGACACCACACCTGACACCCCAGTGCAAAATTTGTGTGCTGGAATGTTTTCATTCTGAAAAGAACACAAATATCCTTCCTAGGTACACAGACTTTCTACTTCAGAACGAATAGAGTAATATGGTCTGTGGATTTGACAAAATATATTTTGTAAATATGATGCTTGACTAATATTTTATAGTCTAAAAGCTCTGTTACCATAGCTTTAGGGCAGTAGCATTATCATTCCTAGTCTCAGCTAAAATATAGATGTTTTAAAATGCTTTTAAGCATAAAAATAAATGCCCACATTGTTAACAATAAAACTCAAAACACATAGAAGTACACAAAGTTGAAAGAGAAATTCAGTCCTCTCTCTTTCCTGTTCTTTCTCTATCCCATGCTAACCTGCTCCCAACGGCAACTAGCAAGTGTTGTGAAGTGAATCATTCCAGATATGGGTGACTGCTGCTCTTGTTCACCATGTCTATTAATACCTGTTGGGCTTATTTCACAGTGTATCCTAGATTCTGCGAGCCCCTTCACAACATTCACTCACTCACTCACTCACTCACTCACTCACTCATTCATTCTGGAAGCAAATTTCCCAGACAGTGTGGCAGGATGAACCAGAGCAGTGTAAAGGTGTCAGAGATCACAGTGGGAACCTCCTCCACCATAGCAGCTCTCACCAGAGGTCTGTCACAGGACAGATAAGAGGACCTGGGCCTTCTTGGCCATGTCTTAGGACCTACCCATTTTGGCATCTAAAAAATCTGCATGGTAAATGTGTTTCATTTCTTATGAGGAGAATGCAAATATTTTAAGGACATTGTGCTACTAAATACACAAAGAAATCCCACTTCATGCCACTAAAGCTTCCTCTCGCTCCTCAGAGTTTCACTCTTCCCAGCAGTTGGTTATCCTTCCCACTTTCACTCTTGTCAGCCCGAGGACACACAGGCTGTAAATGAGAAGGTGCTCAGAAAAAGTCTGGTGCCGCAAGTCTCTGATTTGACATCCAGCTCTGTTACTCATTACCTGCCTCTTTAGGGGAGTTTCTGGGCCTCTGCCTCTTTACTCCTGCCATAAAAAGAGTGCTAACTTAGTACTCAGAAGCACTGAGTCAGGGATGGTAATGTGAGGCACAGAAAACACTGGTGCACAATACATCCTCCAGCATAAAAAATAAATTTGAAACAGAAGAACAGGAGTCTTGCTAAGTAAGCAAAATAAAACAAAAACAAAACAAAAAGCATTAAAAAGGGCAGAGAGTAAGCTGGGTGTGGTGGCACATGCTGTAATCCCTGCACTCGGGAGGAGGCTGAGGCAGGATTGCCTTGAGTTTGAGGACAGCCTGGGTTATAAGTGAGCTCAAGACCCTGCCTCAAACCACCTAGAAAGTAGACCGATGTGTTTATTCATACCCATGCTTTCCTGGTGAGCTCCTTTTCTCTGGTGCCCTATGTGTACACGCAGCCTTACACAGGGTGCTGTAGCAGAGTGGGAATTTTACCTAAGCCTACTTCATGCTGCGGCAACTGAGCACCCATGCGGTCCGTTCCGTGCACAGGCTTCTTTTTCTCCATTTCATCTCATCATCAACCTCATCATTTTCAGACACCAGGGACCTATTTTAAGTGCTGTTTCCATCCTACTTGGCCTCCTCACCAAGATCTGCTTTGGTGAACTGAAAAATGCCAGCAGGACTTTCTCAGATTTCTACTTTTGTGATTTCCTGCTGACAGTGTTTGTATTCTTGTTGTTGAGCCAAGAGTGACTTTTTTCCCCAGCCCCATTTATTCAAGGACAAATGGCAGCTTTCCCTTACTCCATGGGAGAGGATCAAATTAAAGGCACTAGTTTAACAAGAACTACAAGAGCAGCACGTCTTACTGCACAGGATGAAGAATGCCCAGCTCCAGGGGCTCTGTTCATGTAGGTGACAGGCCAGCGAGCCCCAGGCATTATGCAACACAGCACGCTTGCACAGTAGGCTGAGCGCAGACCTTGCAACAGCTCCAGATCTCACCAGTGATCTTGTACATGGCCAGCAAGAAGGAATCCTTCTTACAGATGCCTTCCTTATACCATCTGATGAAGACAACAACATATCCAATGTTGTGGATATGGAAGTGTTGCTTTTGACATATGGTTACTGAAGGAAACTAGACTTGCAAGATGTTTCCTGCAGCTTTGCTAAATACTTTGAGTTGAGATGGAACTCATTAAGTACATCCATATATAACGTGTGCACCTGTGTGCATTCGCGCGCGCACGCAGGAGGGGTGGGGAGAAAGCACCCACCCAAGTATGCAGCTTGGCTAGTGGACTCAGCCAGCCCTTCCCTGCGCAAGTCTTTCCCTGCATCCCCAGGGGTGGAGCAGTGGGCGGGGGAGCTCTCCAGCATGAAGTTCTTGCTCCTGGACGTGCTGATGATCCGTGGTGGCAGGAGCACATTAATGACCGTCTGCAGCAGCAGCTGCACCTCGGGCTGCTCCAGCCACGGGCTATCTGAAGGTCAGAGTTCAGAAGAGGAAGGGGAAAGAGAAACAGTCACGAGGCAGCCTTTCCATAGCACAGAAAAATGCAGCTCTTTCCAATTCCAAATCAGGACACCCTTGAAATTCAGGTGTTTCCCACCAAATCCAGCTTCCCCAGAGACATCCACAGCATTCCTTATATTCTTAGCCAGATCTACTGCTTACCATTCAATCTCCTTTTCACAAATACTCATACTGACCTTACATTTGAGATAAACTTTTCCTAAAAGAAACCTCCCCCTAAGAAGAAAGAGCAATGAAAAGACATCCAAAGTGAAAGACCACGGCAGGATTTCTGCTACGCTCGGTGGCAGGATCAGAAAGTCCATCCACCTGTCAATTCTCGTCCTATTGTACTGCAACTAATCCCGTTATCCTAACGGAATTGAAACAATTTACTCCTGTTTTTGCTGTGGTGAAATGATTTTAAATAGGCTGTGTCTTCTAAGGAGAGCAGAGAAACTTGTCCCAAGGCAGCTAAGCTGGAAAGAAAGAAAAGCTCTTATTTTCTAAGGTAACCCTATTTAAATCATTTAGGTCAACTTCCAGTGATGGCTTTCATGGGAAAATAAAAAATAAATAGCAGCCTGATATTTAAGAGAATACAACAACAGCGATAAGTTTCCTTTAGTTAAATTAATCAGACCTTTGCTTCCAGATCCTACTGTGAGCACAAATGGGATGAGTAGATTTAAAAGCATTCCCTCCCTTCGCTCTTGATTGGTGAATGGGGAGATCACATGGCTTAAAGGAAAATCTTCTTTTAAAGCCTGTACAGTAATAATAGAAAGAAAGATTAATTGACCATCACGCCCACTTCGTCTGCTTGTCTTTACATAGTATGACGGAGATGGTGGTTCCCTGCTGACCACTCCTGTGAACTATGTGCAGCATACAGTAGGAGATCCGATCAAAACTGATACCTTACCATCTGCTTGATATAACTGAGAGCTATGTGCCTAAAAAGACAGTGACATCTTGAATACTGAATGAAAAGTCACAATACATATGTTCAGGTACAAAACAGTCTTATTTCCCAATTAATTTCTTCCATGTGTCAACCAAAGAATATTTTTAGAGACAAGTATTCTTGTTCCATTTGTAAATTATTTCAAAGTCCTCCAACCCCTGCCTAAGGCCTTCTTGAAGCCAGGAAGCAATAAATAATAAAGAAGAAACAAATGATCTTCGAACAAGTTATTAAAATATATCACTTCAGAGATGTCATTGTTTCGCTTCAGTGTAGTAACTATAGTTCTTAAATATGTTCTCCATCATCTGCATGTTCTTTGGATGGTGACTATCAAGTCTGATTTTCAGCCAATGGGTAGATCAGTTATCCATTTGCATCAGTTGTGTACTTTTCATCAATCACAGAGTTTTCAATCATTTAATGCTTTTAAAATTGAGTAACAGAGAAATAGGTAGAGGTATGAGGAATCTGCGCATTTTTGCAGATTTGAAAAATCCTTATTTTAGTTTCAAGAAATGGAGTGGAAGAAATTTGTTTCTCAAAAATCACCCATGATATTCAACCCACAATCATTAAAGAAAATAAAGATATTCAAAGTCTGGTGATAACATGTGAAAGAATTTTATGTTGAATTCTTTCTGAAAATAATTTAAAACCAGGCTTTGAATACTACTGCCTCTTTTAATTAACAATTGTGAGCTGATTATCTGTAAACCATAATTTTGCACACTTTAAATGACTTAAGGGATCACTCAGGTTGTGGCAGAACTAAGTGACTCTGCTATTTTTGAGATCTCAAGAAGAATTACAGAAGCACAACTTAGGGCCACGCTCAGGGCTGAAGCTCCAAACCTATAAAAGTTTGGAGATGTTCCCATTTTCGTTTCACAGGTTTTGCCCAGCCTTTGCAGAAAGAAAGAGAACACCGTGATCTGGTGTCTCAACCAGCAACTCTTAAGGAGCGTGACAAACAGGTAAGGCAGTCACACCTGTATCTGCAATGCTACAAGCCGGACAACAGCTGTGCTGAAGGGCAGAGGTGGTGAGAGATAAGGGCTGAGATGAAGAAGGGGTAATCCATCAGCAACACTGGAAGGTCCTACCACTCCCATCACCTGAAATACAAACAGAGCACATGACCAGCCTTGACCATTGCAATTTCATGCAAACATAGTAAAGGAATCTCAGTCAATAATGATAATGATAGTAATAATATTAATAATAATTGAAGGTTGGGCATGTTACTTTTGGTCTTTTTAAAAAATCTTGCCTTCTTCTGAAGGCTAGTAATGTCTGGAGTCAGATCAATTATTAGAGTGGATTCACACAAGGTTTTGTAGAATGCTGTTTGTAGATAGCTATGTAAAGAATGAGAGATGAACCAAAAAGCTATTCTTATCGGGAGATTGAACACTTACTTGTGGATTAGAAGGAGCACAGTCAACGTTCTTTGATGGAGCAAATACTGACAACAGTGATGATGGCAAAAGCTCTATTTGCACTAGGCATTCCAACTACGGATTTATCGCTCAACTAGTTAAGCAGCAGGTCCTAGTAAATGAGATGCTCTAATATGGTTTCCATACATTGTACAAAACCTTGTCAGGACCAGACTCTAGATATTACAAAAATGATTAAAAATATTTTTTTTCTTTACATAGACCCTAGACTAACCAACTCATAGTATCATTTTGCACTAAAAAAAATTAAAGTAAAACCTTCTGTATTTTAAAGTTTCCCACCCCAGACTTCCTCTCCTTCTTGCCAATTGTGCAGTCTCCACCACCCCACTCTCCAACTGGCAGCCCTCAACTCTCAGCGCAACTTTGAGAGGTGAAATGTCAGAGTAGTGCATGGGAAGCAGCACAGCAAAATCCCACCTGGCAGGCGTGGGCCCCTGCAGCTCCCCATGCACCACCTTGAAATGCACCTCACTATTTTCAGTGTCACCTGAGCCATCTGTTTTCATGGGTAGGGGCACAAAGTGGTTGACCTGTAAATCTTCAATTCAGAGAAATCAATAGCAGAGTTAAACTGTGCAAAGTTTCATAAGATCGCCACATGGCTACTCACCAGATTGACACAGACATTGATCAGTGACCTAAGGTGAGGCAGGAAGGATATGATTGGCTGCCTCTGAAGTGTCAAACAAACCCCTTCAATCAAATTGCTGGCAGGCTCCCACTCAACCTGTCGCCTGGAATACAATATAGGCGCCATTAGCTTGGCTCCCTTCTGGAGAGTGTAACACAAGTGAACGAGACAATGATTCTGACACCATCTAAGACAGAACATGTGTCTGAGACAACAGCGTGCTTCACACGGGATGGAGTTTACCCATGTTGTTCCAAAAGTACAGAGCACACTGGGAGGGGAAGAAGATACTGAAAACGTAGCAGGTAGCAGAGGCACTCTTGCCCCACCGACTAATGAGACAAAATCTATTGAAGAAAAAACAAAGATGATGAATGGGTTGCATTTTAAGTTCCCTGATTTTAGCTCTGACAGACAAGGTTACTGTTTTAGGGGATTCATCAAGAGGCTAGTTACTTCCAGCCCCCAGAGGTATTGCTGAAATCCATTTAGCAGACATACTTGATTCTATCAGCTTTGACACCAGATTACTACTAGTTGGATTTATATGGCTTAGCTCATATCAAAAAGGTCACATTGGAAGGAAATCATCTGTTTAAGAAGCATTCATTGTTGACCTCCTATGAAATCATATTTGGGGATACTTTTACAGTAGTATAAATGGTGAAGCACATAGCTCAATTGGATGAACAAGGGGGTTTACCATAATAAAAATCAATCCAGTGTCTGTAATTCAGCACTGAAAGATTCATTTCTGTGATTCCAAATAAACCAGTTGGGGTTTGCTTGTATCAACGCTACTTTCACATATTTTCTCAGAAATACTTTCTAAGCATACATTTCCTACCAAATAGAATCTGTGATGACACAATGGAAATGTCAATCACTAATGACATATTGACATCTTTGATGTTAAAGTGCCCAGGAATCCACAAATCACCGTCATTCAATATGTTTTATATTAAAACAAGGTCACCTAAAGTAGTTAAATCCAAGCCAACTTCATATACACATCCTTCCCAGAAGAGTTATCTACAACTGACCGAGTCTGTGGCTTGATCCAGAAGTCTACTTTCTGGAAGCATGATGTTATTGACAATGGCCCTAGGGAGAATTGCTCAACATCTTTAGATGTCAAATCACTTAAGTGAAAGTATTTTGATGCACACTTATAAGACAGCTATAAACCTTTGAGCAGTCATTTGCCAACAGACCCAAACACACCACTGGCACCACTAAAGATACAGTGGTTTACAAACAGGCATTTCCATGCCACTGAAACCTTAGAATAATGTCTAGACATTGATAGTTGCAATATAAAAGAAAATTTAAAAAGCCATCAACTATTAGCATGAAATCCTTCCCCCCACTTCAAAACCTCATAATGGAAGCACAAATGTAAAAAGAGCATAGGCGAATACCTAAGGGTATCCTGACAGACTGAATACTAAGTGCTACCGATTCTTGGAAAGATTTGCTTCAATTTTTGCTTCAGTTTAAAAGGACAGAATGCTCAAACCCAACTTGAAATTTCCAAGTTTGTGGATCAGCACTTATTAATTGGACTACCTGCTCACAGTGACTATGGTTTCCAAATTGAGCTTATGTCTTTAGGTAGACCGTTTTGGAGGTATCTCTTTATCTTATCCAAAGGGCACCAGGGAATATTTCTTAGGTCACTGAGCAGAAGTCAGGAAGTAAGTGTGTTCCTTTAGAATTACACTGAAGAAGGTGAAAATTAGGTATTTGTTACCGATCCTCTAAACTTTTTTAGCTGCTGTTTGGCTGATTATTGTAAAACTTGTCATTTTTCTAAATTGGTACCTAAATATGTTAACTAATCACATTAAATAGAGTACTTAGAATGTGAAATTAATTTTTCTTCTTGCTTTAGTTGGTTATTTTAAGCATACGCTGGCTTATTTCAAAGGGGATTGCAGGGTACTGACTGAATTTCATATGTATATCAGATGAGGAACAGTGATAGCTAAAAATGGATATATTTTTTTAAGAGGAATATACTTTAAGAAATATTATTTCTCCAAAGTGGACCCTGCTATTTAGGTATTCCACTTTTATGGTTAACTGTGTGCAGAAACCAGAAGAGAACTTTTAAGTCACTCATTCCACTCCAGATTTCCCATCTATGTTAAAAAACGACAAGTTCTAACTTTGAGGCTTATCATATCAACAGTTGACCAGGAGGCCTCCTCACCTCAAGGTAGGCATCTTATGAATTTTGTTGAACATTCTATCCAGTCTCTTTAGAATGAGGATAAGGGCCGGCCTCACTGCCTCGGCTGCCCAGTCAGTGATGGGCAGCATCTCCATGATGTAGCGCCGAAGCCCGCGGCTCTCCATTGTTTGGGTGTCATATGGGGCCAGCTTCAGAAGGGAGTGTGCAATCTCTGCCAACCTAAAATGATTGTTTTTAAAAGAATAAGCTTCAAATGTTACAGTAAAAAATGTTTCCACATAACACCATGCTAGTCACATCCAACCAATGCACCAAAGCCCTGACCATAGGACACTTGCCCACGTCCTTCCTCCCCCCTGCTCTTCTATTAGATCAACAACAATCCCTCGCTGTCACTCTTTTTACCTTGTTAGCTGCTCCTAGTGATCCCTGCACAGATCAATTAGTGCATTAGGAGAAGCATAGTGACAATAATGTGCTCTTCCTTTTCTCATGCATGAAGTACAGAATTTTAATAAAGAGAAACGTTGGGCCAGGGATGTAGCCATATAGCTCAGCAGCACAAGCACCTGCCTGGCAAGCACAAGGTCTCGAGTTTGATC